CTCCGCTGCCGTGGACAAAGAGAGGGAGAGGAGTAACGGAGAGGAGGAGGAAGAGGGACAGGATGAGGGAGGCCATGGTGATTAGCTTGTTGATTAGCGTTGAGGTTTAGAGGGTATTTAAAGGTTGTAGCATTCAATAATCTTTGGCCGGCGAAGTATTAATTTGGTGATCAGCGTAATTGTTCATAGTGTTCATCAAACATGCGTTAGGGGTCAAAACGAAGGGGAGGCGATATCGATGAGAACAAGGTTTTCGGCATAGATTACATCTTTGCTCAACAAAGTAGGAGCTTAATCCAGACAAGAACGTGATTAGGGTGTAAACAACGAGAAGATCCAAAGTAAGAAATTGACGTAGGAGTACACGTACAGCACGTACGCTTTGCATGAGAAGAGATTAATTGATTTGGGATTAAATATGAAAGCATGCAGTGATGATCGATCAGTATGTTTTCAACTCAAAGATTAAGGAGAAAGGAGAGGAGATTAAGGAGGCCTCCTTGATTAATTTGTTGATTAATTAAGGTTTTCGGTCATTGAGAAGGCATTTAAACCTAGTCTTGGCGGGGAAAATCTTGGTGATGTTGGGCGCTGTTAATCTCTGACCGGTGAATTAATAATTACTTGTGTAATGTTCCTTGGGTGTTTCAAGAGAAAAGTTGCAAGAATCATCTAAGTACGATAGAAAAATTGTGCGTGAAAGAAGAACGCTGCTGTTTTGTTTTGGAGGTCAAGGACGTTATAAAATTTTAAATTGGGTAGATCGAGTTTCACAAAGCTCCAGAGAAGTTTGATCCGTTTGGAGACAGCACCCAAAAAGTTCAAAAACAACACGTCACCCCTAAAGTTTTTGCATTATTCTGAATCTATTGTCAGATAACCCCCAGCATTGTAAAGATTTAGACTGACGGTCTAGAAATTAAGAGGTTTCGTGAAAAAAATTATATATGGGGTTCAGTGAAATAAATAAAGCTCATGGGTGGTTACATGAAGTTTTGGAGTATTTTGATAAATTTACACGGAATCTACACCTCTATGTTTAAAGGAAAATCCTAAGAATTATTGTTTACGATACAATTATGCTATAGTAAATATTGTAACATGAACAACAATCCAGTTCATGTTACAGTATTTACTAACATAAACAGTAAATCAAATTTGTTCCTCCGTACTTGAATTTACTATTTATGCTATAGCTATTTACTATTTCATAAACAGTAAAACAAATCAAATGTATTAAAACTTGGATCCTCATTTAAGTATAAATGAGTAGACATGATTTCTAAATCAAATGTATTAAAACTTAGATTCTTCTTTAAATATAGAGTAGTAGATATGATTTCTAATTTTAAACATACAATAACTAAATCAAATACATTTTCAGTAAAGGACTGATTTTTTGATAAGTCATGGTTTAGACCGTGGGGCTTGACCATGCGACCGTGCCGACGATGCCGACCGTGGGGCTCAACCATGCGACCGTGCCGACGGTACCAACCGCGGGTTATGAATATTTGCATTAGTGAAGGCAAGTGAATGTGATTGACCAAACATGGCATTCTCGTCTTTAATTGCTTCTGCTACATGCTCTACAGCTTCTTTCATCTGTAGAACTTCTTTATCTTCTTCCTTTTTAACATGATCCTCCCTACCTTTCTTCTTTTTGTCCTTCAAAATTGTTTCTCGACCACAGTAGGGGGGGAGGGGTGACCATAGCTCAATTAAGGGGGACGTAGCTCCAACGGAGCGGGGTGCGTCGACCGGCTTAACATCGTCGAACGCGATGTCCGACTCAACCCAACGATATATAATTACACCACAACCCGCGAACTTTGTTTGTTTTTGTCCGTTTCGACCCAAAGGCAAACGGATAAGCGTTGTTCGGATTTCACGAGTTCGTGAGCAATATGCAACGATTTTTGCCCAACTTTGACGGTTTCGTCCGGCAAATGACTCGGCGGAGTCAAATTTCACGATTTTGTGAGCTATAACCCACGAAATTTGTCCATTTACGTCCATTTTCGGCCACGTGGAGACAATTAGGCGGAGTGCATATTTCACGATTTTTGTGAGCTATAACCCATGATTTCTGACATATTTTGTCAGTTTCGGTCCGTTTCGACCCGGCGGCAAAAATCTTTGCCGTATTCAAAACTGACGATTTCATGAGCTGTAACCCATGAATTTTGACCATTTTCTTCTGTTTGGGCCGGGTGTCGGAAATGTCGAAACCGGCGATTTCATGAGCTATGCCCACTGTTTCTGACCAATTTGGGGTGTTAGACGATCCGTGTCAAAATATCTATGCCGAATTCAAAACCGACGTTTTCATGAGTTATAACACATGATTGTTGACCATTTTCGAGCGTTTGGGCCCTGCGTCAAATAATTAGGCGGAGTTGAAATTTCGTGATTTCATGGGTTATAACCCATGATTTTCCGACCGTTTTGGTCCGTTTCGACTCGTGCGCGAATAACTTTGCGGAATTCAAAACCGTCGATTTCATGAGTTATAACCCATGATTTTTAACCCTTCTCCCCGGTTTTGACCCAGTGGCAAACAATTAGGCGGAGTTCAAATTTCATGATTTTACCTATGCGGGTCGCGACGTTGGGAAGACCCATCTTCACTCACGTTGTCGTGGGGGGCTCAACCTGACCGACATAGTTTGGCTCTTGCGTTGTAGAATAATCGCTAGCGCTAGCGCAGAGCGGTGCGAGAATTCATTGGTTGCCGCTATCTTGTTCCGAAAAATTTTCGATCACGATTTTTTTCCAAGTGTTGGGAAGCAGCCTTTCGCGATTGGGCATGACGAGTTGGTTTGGAGGGGGGAGGGACGAATCTGTGCGACGAGTGGCTGGATCTCAGTGGATCGTGGAAGCAAGACCACTCTGCCACTTACAATGCCTTGTCGCGTATTTAAGTCGTCTGCAAAAGATTCAGCCCGCCGACCGTCTGGAATTTTGCTCCAAGGGGGCCGCGTTGCAGTTCCATCGCGCTGGCCGTACCTTCGACATGTGCCCGTGGTGGTGCTTGAGCACCCCTACCGTGGGTCGGGATGCAGTCGGCAGGCGCAGACACCTCTTTTCTAACCTGGATTCTGACTAAGAGGTATTCAGTCATAATCCAGCACATGGTAGCTTCGCGCCACTGGCTTTCAACCAAGCGCGATGACCAATTGTGTGAATCAACGGCTCCTCTCGTACTAGGTTGAATTACTATCGCGGCGCAGTCATCAATAGATATGAAACCCATATTTTGTTTTTTCATAGGGTTCGCGGGAGTATTATGTTTAACCTTTTTTTTTCGCTAATCATTTCTTTCTTTGGCGATGGAGTCTGTTTCTGTAATTGTTGTTTTTGTTGTTTCTCTTCTCTTTTTGCTTCGGCATACTTTTGTATCTTTTAGCATGTTTCGTTAAACTTTTTATCAATAGAACAACAGGGAGTATGTGTCCACCCGCCGTTTTTTTCTCAAAAAATATGAGTATATATGAAACCCAATTACTAAATTCTCAAACGAAGGACATGTTCATCATTATTATTTTTTAAAAAAAGCAAAGAGCAAAAGTTTTTCACACAAACTCCAAACAAATCAAACCACAAACAGACCCTAAACATCTCGTAGAAACCCTCTAGAGCTTTTCACAGTCCGCGGCAGCGATCGACAGGGTCTTGGCCTTCAAATCGTACCCGACGTGCAAATTCTGTTGCGCAACGTTCCCAAATATCGGCACTCCGCCGAACTCTCCGCTGCTCACCATCGCGAGACACACCATTCCCAACTTC